GATGCACCATGGACAATGGGGCTTGCAATACCTGCACTCCCTTCCTACGACCATTACAACTGCCAACAATGAGGGGGTCAGGACCACAATTTACACAGAGAGCCTGCATGACCCACTCTACATCCTGGTGCGGTTTGGAAGAATTTGTCAATGGATGATGGGACTTGCAGTCACTGCACTCACTTCCTGAGATCACTGAGACCCTCGCCAATGACTGACCAAGACCAAACTTGGCACACAGAGTCTCCATGACCCACTCTACATCCTGGTGCACTTTCGAGGAGGACAGATCATGGATGATGGGACTTCAAGTACTCCACTCCCTTCCCAAGATTGCTGCAACCCTCATTAATGACCAATCTAGACCAAACTTAGCACACAGAGCCCCCATGATCCACTCTACATCCTGCTGCAGTTTGAAGGAGGATGGACTTTGGATGATGGGATTTGCATTACCTTCACTCACTTACTGAAACCACTACCACCCTCATCCAATGGCTGATAAAGACCAAACTTGGCACACAGAGCCCCCATGACCCACTCTATATCCTGCTGCTGTTTGGAGAAGGGTGGACCATGGATGATGGCACTTCAAGTACCTTCACTCACTTCCTGAAAACAATGCAGCCATTATCCAATGACCAATAAAGACCAAACTTGGCATACAGAACCGCCATTACCCACTTTCTCTAATAACCCGGGCAGCGCCGGGTCCACAAGCTAGTTCTAAATAAAGAACAAACAAGCTCAGAGCTATAGCAGAGTGCCTTTGCCCAAGCCTACAGGGAAGGGCAAAATACAGCCTTTCCGCTCCCCACTGAGTTAGTTGTGTATAAACCCTTTGCTCTTTAGATTCATTTGCAGGAGCTGAAGTAAGCCAAGGACAAAGAGGGGAAGAAGGAGAGAGAAAACTTAGATGAAAAAGTGGGATGACAGAGAATTAATCAGGACTGTCCTCGCCAAATAGAGAGAGAGCTGGCGGGGATGAGGTCTGTCACATCTCCAATGAATGGTCTGCCCACAATACAAACACACACAAACTATCACGAGATTTATAGTTCAAAGACAAAAACTTTCCATTCCTTCTCTACATAGAAAGAAATTAACAGAAATGAGACTTTGCTAACTTAAAATACAGCAATAGAGTATGGATTTATACAGTTAAATGATTTTAAACAACTACAGGTTATACTGAACTTGGGCCTTGTAAAAGTGGAGTAACTTCCATCTCCTTGCTCAATGTAGGCTCTCAAGTTAAAGCCTCCCCAGCAGGGAGAGTTCCAGTCTCTTTTGGGCGATGTCTAGAGAAGGAGAACTCATCATTTCTCCAGTCCGTTGGTTTCACTGCTGAAATGCTCTTACTGTCAAGAAGCTCCTACTAATAGTTAACTGAGATCTACTCTACTGGAACTTTGGACCATTAGGTCTGGCCCTACCTTCTAAGGCAGTGAAGAATAGACCTGTATCTGCTATTATAGCATAAGCTGCCTGAGGCTGAAGTAGGAGGGATAAGGGCTTTTCTGGGACAGCAGCCAGATTTTGGGCCTTTCTGCACAGGCCCTAAAATGTGGAAGAAACGGGGATAAAGGTGTGTGTGTGTGGCTAAATAATATTTCTCAAAAAACACAGTGTTTTAAGCACATGTTAAAAACTGTGCTTAAAACCCAATTTTGGCCAAAAATGTGCATATTCACCTCATTATATTCAACATTTACACAAATGACCAGCCACTGCCAGAAGGGACAGAGAGTTTCATCTATGCTGACGATCGTGCCATTACCACTCAAGCAGGGAGCTTTGAGATGGTTGAACAGAAGCTCTCCAAAGCTCTAGGTGCTCTTACTGCCTATTACAGGGAAAACCAGCTGATCCCTAATCCATCTAAAACACAGACATGTGCCTTTCATCTCAAGAACAGAGAAGCATCCCGAGCTCTGAGGATCACCTGGGAAGGAATCCCACTGGATCATTGCAGCGCACCCAAATACCTGGGAGTCACTCTGGACCGTGCTCTGACCTACAAGAAGCACTGCCTGAACATCAAGCAAAAAGTGGGTGCTAGAAACAATATCGTACGAAAGCTGACTGGCACAACCTGGGGATCACAACCAGATA